TCATTGTCATTGATGTAATGTTAAACAAATCATTGTCATTGATGTAATGTTAAACAAATCATTGTCATTGATGTAATGCGGTACTTTGATGAAAAGATGGCAGATACGCCGTTGGCCTGCATGTGGCACGGTTCTTTTAAACCAGACACTAGTTGATTTAATAGTACATACAAATTATAACTATCGTGTATGCATCCAGTTTTATGTGAAGTGATTGACAGCTCTTGCACCTATCAACAAGGTTAAATACCTATGTGACTGATAAATGGCCACGTATCGCACCGAAAAAGTAATGCCAAATATAGCTCCCTGTGGTACACCAGCGAAGTACGGAAACATGGGTTGTTTCTAAACATAACTCAATTTCCGGACTATAATATACATCCTTAAAACGGGTTTCCAACTATCCTGACTACCAGATAAATACTAATCCACTGGGCAAAAGATATGTAGCCTTAAGGATTACACATATTGTATTCTTCTATTATTATACGTAGGGTAGATTCTAGTACCAATCCCCTCTGTCCCGACCGCGCAATATAACATTAACAAATTCTCGTCGTCAGAAGATAGGAAGATTCTACCTCAAAAACTATCTACGTCACATACATATGTTCTGGCACAAAAAATGACTGAGTTGCTTAAATGGAGGGCCCAGATGTTAAGGGTGACTTCGTTTGAAAATATGAACCAGAGAGTTGAATATCAAAATCATGGGTTTTGCAAGCGAATGTCGAACACAACGTTAAACGGTTAGTGATGAAATATATAAGTGGTTTGAAAACAGTATCAAGAAGTATTTGTAAGCATTGCTAAAATGATTTGAAGCTGGAAAACGCGATGATGGAAAGGAACTGAAGGGTTAGGTAATCATTGATGAGTGAAAAATATATACAAGTATACTGACTAGAGGAAAGGGAACTCGAGGAGAGTTTCGAAACAGGATCGAGCAGGGATGACATATAGGATGGAGAAAGTCCCTCCGAGAATAATACCTTACCTTACCTCTTCGTCGACACCGTTGTCAGCTTGAAGTAGCTAATATAGGCGCATCTTGGTTCGGTAACATACTGTTAACCGGTATATTTTTCCAAAAAGTGTTTAAACGAGATTTAAAACTGTTTAGAGATGGGGCTTCTACTGGTATGATAAGGGAAATAAGATGGAGAAGGGTTCAGTTGATATTAAAAGTTCTATTAACACAATATGGTTCCCGTAGATGATGGACTAATGGTATGAACATGTCACACTTACGTAGTAAAATGCATTCTGTTCAGTCATAGTTCTATATTTACCATCGTATGGCATTGTCACTATATAACCCTACCAAATTCAGTTGGCATTCATATAGGCTATGAATGCCATGTAACGATTGTTGACGTCATCATTTTTATGACGTCATAATTGTTACGTTGGATACCACTGACCCTCCATGGGCGCTAGCTGTTCTATAAGCATACACGATACACACATTATTTAAACCAAATGTTGAATAATAGTATATGTAATTGAATTTTCTATGAGATGAACAGATTCCAAAAATGGTAAATACAAGTATCGCTGCTCTCAGTTGGCATTCATAGGAAAAATGAATTCCAACTGGACAAAGGCAAATCTAACATGAAGCGCGCTTCATTGAATTTGCCTTTCTCCAGTTGGCATTCATTTTTCCTATGAATGCCAACTGAAAGCAGTTCAATGCTAAAATAATCATTGAACAAGATTGTGGACAAATCGAGTTAAATGGTTCTTTATCTGCAACACTTTTAGAGTTATTGGACTGTAATTATGAACAAAAATGCATTTATTTTTAAATATTTTCATGTGCATATATTTTTACATTTCATATTGGCCTTCCACTTTCAGACAGATTTTCAATACTGTAAATGGAACGACCAACAGCCATGATCGGCTAGCTGAAAATGTGTCTCCAACGTTATGCTTATGACGTCACAATTACAATGACGTCATGATCTGCACGCTAAATATCTCGTAGCTCAGAGCTTCTTTTGGTATATTGTTACAGTAGAAATTCAGAAGAAATGTGAATATTTTAAAAAGTACATAAGACCTGATTGGGTTTTTTGAAAAAGAAAAGACACATAATGAAACCTTTGAGATTATGCAAAGGGATGCAGCATTGAGTCTTTTAAAACTTACAAGAGATGTAGTTAAGGTCATTCTCCAGTTATCTAGGGAGGAATAGCTAGGTAATGGAGGTCCTGTAGGAAATTATAGGAAAGGGTTAGGCTACGGAAGTCACGTGGGTTACAGCAAGCCAACAGAGGTCATGTAGGTACATTTCGTGAGGGAAAGGCTAGGTAGTGGAATATATCTCCCTTAATTAACTATAAAGGAAGACTTTCGATAATACACTAACTTATTTATCCAATTATTTGGACAAGCGACGGTAGAGGATGATATGTTTAAATATTATTTAGCAAGGTAAAGTAACATAGATGACTAAAGGGTGTACGGATCACTAGAGCATTAAAGGGTGTACGGATCACTAGATCATTAAAGGGTGTATGGATCACTAGATCATTAAAGTGTGTATGGATCACTAGAGAATTAAAGGGTGTACGGATCACTAGATCATTAAAGGGTGTATGGATCACTAGATCATTAAAGTGTGTACGGATCACTAGATCATTAAAGGGTGTATGGATCACTATAGCATTAAAGTGTGTACGGATTACTAGATTATAAAAGGGTGTATGGATCACTAGAGTATTAAAGGGTGTATGGTTCACTAGATCATTAAAGGGTGTATGGATCACTAGAGCATTAAAGGGTGTACGGATTACTAGATTATTAAATTGTGTATGGATCACTAGATCATTAAAGGGTGTACGGATCAACAGATCATTAAATGGTGTATGGACCACTAGAGCATTAAAGTGTGTATGGATCACTAGATCATTAAAGGGTGTATGGATCACTAGATAATTAAAGGGTGTATGGATCACTAGAGCATTATAAGGTGTACGGATCACTAGAGCATTAAAGGGTGTATGGATCACTAGAGTATTAAAGGGTGTATGGTTCACTAGATCATTAAAGGGTGTATGGATCACTAGATAATTAAAGGGCGTATGGATCACTAGAGCATTAAAGTGTGTATGGATCACTAGATCATTAAAGTGTGTATGGATCACTAGAGTATTAAAGGGTGTACGGATCACTAGATCATTAAAGTGTGTATGGATCACTTGATCATTAAAGTGTGTATGGATCACTAGATCATTAAAGTGTGTATGGATCACTAGAGCATTAAAGGGTGTACGGATCACTAGAGCATTAAAGTGTGTATGGATCACTAGATAGTTAAAGGGTGTATGGATCACTAGATCATTAAAGGGTGTACAGATCACTAGCGTGGTATATCCTTAGTTTTTACCGGCAGTAGGTACTGTACGCGTGGCTCTACTAGCTCCAAGGTACAGAGTTCATTCTGGTTGAGGGGAAATATTTGTTATACCATATATTTCCTGAATAACACACACTGGACAGGTAATTTCTTATTTTACTGGTGTTTCTTCCAGAAACGAAGACGACAACTATGTTAAATAATCTTTTATAGATTTTGTATTACAGTCCACTGATGGTATATGGGTTTTCAGTTCGGGATTCCGGAAATGACTTGAAGCAAATCTATACCACAATAAACTAAACTCTTAATATCCGTCAGCGTAATCATATACAGGTACGTGATCAAAAACAGCAATTAGCTCAACAAAGTAATATATTGTTTCCGTCCCTGGAAACAGTCGTTAACGAGCAGTTATGTAATAAAGGGTTTCTACTCAAATGGTTTAAGGCAGGCCTTTGATGATAAATATTCTGCTATAATAGTCTTGAATCAAATTATGAATAGCGGACAAATATGACTAGTAAGGGTACGGACTGTATAAAGAAACTACTACGAACTCGGTGGTCTTACGATGCTATCGGTATAATGGAATAAAAGTGATCCCATTTATGACTACTCAGGGTAAATAATTAAAAGCATAGAAAACAATAAACAGCATATTTCCCGCACCACCTCGCCCGACCGTCGCGTGAGGTGCACTAGCGTATCATTATTTTGTCAATAATGTTGTTGATCAAAGAAAACCTTCCAGAAGAAATATGGCGCAATATATAATGGCTTGACCTGCTGAATAATTGATGTGTTGTACCAAGAAATGGTTACAGACATCGTAAGTGCATGTATCGAGGCAGTGAATCGATTGATGAAACTGGCGGACAGGTAGGGTAGAAGGGGTCTACAAAAAGACAAGGTTTTGTAAAAGAAATTGACAGAGACTTTGGGAATTTCGGATATCCGCTGCACTCGGCACTGTTTACCCTTCTTCTCTTGTCAATACTTAATTTACTGTTCGATAAATGATCAATGATCTATCAGACATTTTGCGACAATTTTCCAAACGCAATGACCTTTTTAGTTTGAAGTATATTTTATGTTGTGAATTATCTCTAATTTAACCCGTTGAACGCCATGGACTATACTGTAATTCGTTCAAGTTCGACATTTAAAAGTACGGCATGAACATGGATTTAAACACATTTAGAAGTTTAACTAGCTTCTAGTCAATATTAAATAATTTGACTTTTTTTAACCCGTTGAAAGCCATGGACTATACTGTAATTCGTTCAAGTTCGACATTTAAAAGTACGGCATGAAAATGGATTTAAACACATTTAGAAGTAGAACATAGCGCTGAGTTAATCTTTTAAAAGGTTCTTCTACCGCAGTCTCGTTACTTTTAGTTTACCGTTAGACTTTCTATTAATATAAGTTGTCAATCGTACTTACCCAGGTGTATGAAATGGATCGGGCGTCATAAGTATACTTTTTCCATTTGGTGGTAACGGCATTTTGTTCCTTTGCCTAATAAATCCACAAGTATCTGTTGATAATGAAGATTTTCGATCGTTTTCACAGTTAATTTCCTCCCAGAGAAAGTTTGACGTTCGATATCAGCCCGATCTTCTTAGCGTAGCTATGGAGCAAGTCTATTACGTCATGCTATTGTTGTCGCAGGGGTGTGCGGGATACGTATTGTTTGACCCCGTGACCTCTCCAGTTGACGGGCGTTTCGTTTTACGAAATCGACATTAACACGGCTTGAAACTGACATATGCCACAGAGATAAAAACAAATGAATGAGCAGTATTCGATAAATAGC